AAGGAGCATACAGAAGACAAAGTTATGAAAACTTCCAAACACTTTGAGGGAATGAGTTACTGGGCCTGGGGGTTCAGGACCGTAGTCTTAAGGGCCAGTAAGATCAAGTGGTAAAACATAGTTCACAAAAACAATGTTCTACATCCTACTTTGGTAAGTCGTGACTGGGTTTTTTTAAAAAGTATAACTATTTCTCTCTCTGGAGGAAAGAAGAGTGAAGAAAACTGAAGACTGCTGTTGTTAAGTGCCATTGAGTCGATTCCGACTCTCAGAGAGCCTGTATGTAAAGGCTTTCGAGGAGCGGCTGGTGGGTTTGAACCGCCAATCGTGTGGTAAGCTTGTAAATAATTGGTCCAATGGACATGACCCTGAGACCAGAAGATACAGCTGGTGTCTGGCTACTACCACTCAATGCTCTGAAAGCATTACATTAGATGGTCCTGGACAGAGTGGGAGAAAATGTGGAACAAAAGTCAAAACCATCAGAGGTGGGATAGAGACTGATGTGACATCCAAGACTATGATCTGGAACCGGACTCACCAAATAATAGACAGTTTTGTAAAGGGAGCATAACACTAGTAAGGTATACACACCTTAGAATAATCTACCAGTGAAGATCAAAAGGAAGCATTTACCCAAGTACAAAATTCAGAAAGATTAGGAAAGGAGGAATGGCAACAGGAAACAGGGAGTTAGTGGGATAAGTGATGTTACATTGAAGGAATTGTAAGCAATGAGATAAAATAGATGTTTATGAATTGTTGAATGTAAAACTGATGATGTACTCTGTAAACCTTCACCCAATTTGCAATAAAGTTTAAAAAATATTTCTTCTTAAAGCTTTTATTTAAAGAACTTGAGTTTAAAAATTCCCAACCCATCATATGCTTTGTTGTTGTTTAAGTGCCGTTGAGTCATTTCCGACTTATAGTGACCCTGTATAGGGTTTCCGAGGCACGGCTTGTGAGTTTGAAGCACTGACCTTGCGGCTCAAACGACCATGCACTGAGTGCTTATCCTACAGCATCACACCAGGACTCCATCCTATGCTTTAGCTTTCCCTTTCTCCATACTCACCTCCATCAGTATTTTTCAATATTTTGTGCTTTTGAAGAATGGTAGTTCATTCATATTCCACACACTATAGTTATGCCAAAGTTTCATATACGAAATTATTTTCTAACACAATTTCAAAAGTACATTTGACTTGACTAAATTTTTAATCCCTCCAAATGGCAGTTACTAAACTTTCTCTGCATCCAGCCACTTGTATCCATGTAAAATTTTGTAAGCAATAATAAAAGGGGGCTTTAAAAAGCTCATGGAAAAATGGAGTTAAAAGGTAATGGAATTTTTTCCATGAACTTTTTGAAGTCTCCTCATAAAATGACTTGAAAGTACTGATCCCCTTACAGCACTTCCTAAAAATTTTGTGCATGAAATATATTCTTAGTTTTCAGTTATTCTCTGTAACAATACCCACCAACTGCTAGCTATACTGCTCATTTTTTATGTAAACTTATGAGGGGCAAATATTATCGTTTTATTAGAACTCTGTCTTTAGAGTACATGTAACTCTCAACAATTCACTTCACCTGGCTCCATTTCAAACATCTCAACCATTATTGTTTGTTGTTGAGTGCTGTCGAGTTGGTTCTGACTCACAGCAACCCTCTATATATCAGGCTTCTGAGAAACAGTTGGTGGTTAGAACCACCAACCTTGCAATCAGCAGTTCAGTGCTTATTCTATAGCGCCACACAGTGCTCAACCATTATGTTTAGAAAAAAATTACCTAGTAACTACTAAATTCCTGTACCAAAAATGATTTGCTTCTGTGTTCAAACCATTCTGAAACTTGTTATAGAAAGGCCTCGCATCAGCTATTTTACCCATAATTCTGGGGAATAAAACTGTATTTAATATAAAATTATGCAAAATGACAATTTATATGAAGTTTATATAACTGGACTTGATTTTTTAGTGTAAAGTAGCTCAATGTTTAAAGAACTTCAATAAAACTTTTTGTAAAATATGATGATGCTAGTTAATAAATATCTTGCATTAAGAAAACCTAATGCCCTCACAACCACTAATATGTAGTTACCCAGGCAACAGGTATACTGTCTTGTACACATTGGTACTATGAGGCTAACCATTCTTCACTGTAGAACACTGAAACAAATGTTTGCAATCAAGATGTACAAAATTTTAAAGTATCCATAGAAACCATGCTCCACAGATTAGAACACCAAGAATATCCCCAAAATAACATGTCAGAAACTTTTGAGGACTAGAAGGAATTCCTATGCTAAAACTACTTAAGTGACACCTCTACTCCAACTCAGCACAAACCTCCCAACACCAAATCCTGCTTTAATTATTTTAATTGATTTATTTCAGTTTATATAGTCTGCCTTTCAGTCACCAAATTTCTTCTATTTAGTTTCTAAAAAAATAGTCATTTTTTTCAAAACCAGAAAAGATATATATTTAATATATAAAAGAAAAAGCTAAATCTGGCATAATTATATTCTTAAAAACATTCCATTTATTTACAGATGTATAAAAAAGCGAATTATTGGTCTACTGAGATCATGCGTCTTAAGAGTTAGGGTGAGCGCCCACTGACCTCCAGATTCCTTGATTCTTCTTACTCAACTATATTTTTCATAACCACACTTATAATGTTCATAGATCTGTTTCTCCTAGGGTAAGATTAAAGGATAGAAATTTGGGGAGATGTTAGGTTTCTGTCAAGACTGCGGGATTGTTCTGAAGATCAAATCTTCCTGAAACCCACCCTGAGGACTCCTAGTTCTAAACTCTCTTAACCATACCCTATCGAAGGTTTGTAATAACATCTGCAGTCTTCCTTGAATACCTGGAATCACCTCTCATTTCCATCTTCATATATCATAAACAGAGTCATCTCTTCCAGTCAAGAATAGATTTTTCTTCTAAAAAGGGAAACGTTCAGAAGCTAAAATGGTCCTTTTCCTGAGGGTTGTTTGCTCACTTGCTTAGTCCTTGGTTGACTCTCAAAAGCCACAAGAAGAGAGTTGGGAAATCAGGAAAAAATGTGGGGAAAAGACAAGCAAGGACATAACGGGAAACTGCTATACCTGGATTAGAGTACCAGCATCCAAGGACAATGATTAGCAAGGGAGACAGGAATTGGAATCCTTGGCTAAGGCATTGAAGGAAATCGGATGGATTAAGAGAAGTGTGCAGGAACAAGAAACTGAGGGGCGTGCTTTACCTACTTCCAGCTTCTTCAGTAGCCTTTAAAGCAGCTCTAAAAGGGTAAGTAGCATAAAACCAACAAAGAACTTGCTCCCAATGAAATTTGCAGAGATAGTATTTTCCTCATTCTTTTCAACCTGTTCATTACCAAGTCAAAAGAAAGGGAACCAACCATGGAAGTAATAATTCACAGGCTAGAGCCATTCCAAAGTTGGGTCTCACAACCTGGGTCTGAAGACAGGCTGAGTGGATTTGGGATAAAGAAGACCAGGGATGTAGAAGAAATAGCATCACCTAGGCACAGCCCAGGCACTGGAAGCTCTTGTGTTAAGTGTTTCACACACAAGCAAATCCTGTCAATGAAGACAGGACAGGGGTTACATTCCAAAATATAATTATTTAAGAAAGGCAAAATGCAGCAGCTAAATCCCAGTCTATACATTTTCAGAATAGCAATTCTTGCCCCCAGGAGTTTCCAAGAGACCCCTCAAGCGCACCATGATTATTTACAAACTAGATAGGAAACATCATTTCTATACTCAATACAAATCTCATCTTCTAGGTTGAAAACTTCAGCCTTTGAGAAATCTATGAAAACAACTATACAAAAATATAAATATCTTTACAGGCTGTCAGTCCTTCATACACTGACAGCTAGTGAGTGAAAAAGCTCTACAGATCATTGACTCCATGGTAGCAGATAATAAAAAATATATCTTGTGATTCAAATACTGCCTTATTTCCCTGGTAAAAGAGTGCCTACTGTGACTTTTCTTTACATCCTGTGCAGGTAATAGTGAGTAAAACCTTCAAGCACCAGGAGGCTGGTTTTATTTGGGAACTACCCAGCCCCACAATTTTTTTTTTTTTTTTTTTGGCCACTGTCTCTGGTCTGGAGAGGGAATGCTATCTTTTAAGTGACATGGTTTGTAAAAAGGGGGAAGGTTTCCTCTTTGCCTAGCTGCAAAATAATATTCCAAGTAAAAATCCCTGGCATTGTAAAATGGTCTCTTCAAAACTCTTATGGGTTTTGAAAGTAAGGGAGAACTATTATTTAAAAAAAAAACAACAACACAAAAACTCTCAAAATTAGCTTATAGTGATAAATGTTAAAAGCATCCCTATTTTACCAGAAGACTTGAATTTGTAATTCTGATTGAAATGGTGAGAAAATGGAAGCTACTTGGGATAAAAAAGAAGAGAAAATTTTGCTGAATGACACAAAGTCCTTCACTTTGGTATTCCATGGTACCCATATTACCTCTCCCTATGCTTGAAACACCAATCAAAAAAAACAAAAAAAACCCCTCTCTTCTGGATTCCTTTGCACAAGCACATCAATCACATTTCTTGGATTTCAGATTTACACAGCCCTACAACTACCAGCTACAGTTCAGTCCATAGCAACTCCAAAGTCTCAAGCAGCTTTTGCTCTGAGAGGGAAGAACTTAGGGACCACTGTATGGACTGAGAGTTAAAAGGGGCACCTCGGGTTCAGTAATGGATCACATCTTCTTAGAGAGGATGAGGGGGACCCAGCACCACAAGTGAGGTAACACATTTTAACATGATCAGAATTTCATAGTAGCAATTTCTTATACTGGGGTCAGCACCCTACCCCCTTTCTCCATCATTATCCACTGCATCCTCAAAGTCAAGGATCATAGTTCCATGACACAAACAGATGTCTCCAGAGAAAGGAGGTTGAGATTCAATTTCCCCTCACAGCCCGGTTTCTGCCTAAGAACAAAGTTCATTTCCCTGCAGAACTTGATGAGGCCCCGGAGTTGCCCAATTTAGCCACAACAGGTGCTAATGTGGGCATCATCTTGCTCTCCCGGCCTTCCTGATCACTCCCTGTTAAGTTCATTTTGTGTCCAACTGACCCAATTTTGGCAGCTACAGGTGCCAAACAAGGCATCACCTTGAGACTCTGACCATCTGCATCACTGGAAGGATTAGCTACTTTTAAGCCTAGAGGTGCCAACTTTGGCATAGGCCTCCACAAAGTATCTGTATTACTGTTCTCCAGGTCAGTTTTCATGTGTAGGACAGGAGGTGAGGACATACTTTCAGGATCTGCAGGGAGGCTTGATGTATTCTTCCTTCCATCACTGGCTTTCCGGTGAGGAAGAAGGGAATCCTTAATCTCAGGGTCAATGACAATTTTAAGTACATCTGTCTCAGAGGCTGGTTCTGCAAGTTGTTTTTCATTCTCAGAAAGGTCATCATCTTCCAAGTGCAAGAGGAGTGGACTGATAGGGTCACTACCTCCTTGCACATCACACAACTCTTTCAAACCAGTTCCCAAGTGGTCAACCTGGAAAGTTCCTCGGCTCCCAGGAGGAATCTTACTGATAAAAGCCCGCTGAGCATCCCCTGAGAACTCTGTACCCATAGGGCTGGGAAGTTCAGCCAGGCCAACAGAGTCATCATTTAGTTGTTGATTAAGAAAGGCAATCTCATTGAGTAGAGACGTCAGTGTCTCATCAGTGTCATCCTCATCTTCCATGTTACTGAGCAGTTCACTAGGATCCAGGGCTGCTTCCTCCATAGCAGATGCTACCTTTCTTAGTTCCATCTCTAAGCTTGAGTCCTTGAGATCTTTCATCTTTAATTTATGAAATGGAGACTCTTTTGGCTTCAGTCTTTCCCCTCTTGATTCATTCTGTTTCCATTTATACTGGATCCCTCTTTTATCACTGGAAATCTTTTTAGGTAAGAGCTCGTGTGCTTCCTGAATACTGGAAACATCAATTATTTGTGGGAAACCAGAATCTTTATTTGCCAGATAAACCTGTTTTGGGTTCAATGGCATTCTGCTATCTCTGGTGTTGCCTCTAGAAGAGATTCTCCCCGAATCTTCAAAGGAGTTATCTTTTCTGATGGCGTCTTTCAGGTGGTCAGGTGGCTTGCTGTCAGGAACTTCATGAGAGTATTTGCTGCCACTCATATTTACCAAACCTTCTTCTGTGGCCAGCGATGTCACATTAACAATTCTTGGCATCATAAATAAGTCATCATTTTCTGGGGGGCGAAAAAAAACAATTAGAACTACAGTGGTGAGCATCTCTGTCTCTCTCACTTACACCCAATGATCATATCTCAGAGAGTTGTAACTTAAACTCATCAGACCAATTTATCTAGAAAATGAAGGAAAAATTACTTCTTCAAATTATGGGTCTAACCTAACAACAAAAAAAAAGTCAAGTGAAATATAACCATAAGATTCTTTTGATATTCCACTAGTAATAAACATTCCATGTAATCATTTAGTTAGGTAGGCTCAGGATCAGGCAGTGTTTCATTATGCTGTGCATAGGTCACTATAGGTCGGTACCAACTCGATGGCACCTAACAACAACAACAATAATCATTTTATAGAACTGTTCCCCAAGTTATTTTTTCATTCTGAAGCAGAAATATATCTTTATTATGTTCACATAACTACTTGCTTCTTTAAGTAGGTAATGAAAGCCCTAGAGACAGCAATGTAATAAAAGGGACTGCTCTTTCACATTAGGTTTAGCAACAGATTGGCAATGGCAACAAAGTAGGATCTAAGTAACGGTAAGGACACCTTAGGGCTCCTGGGTAGCATAAATAGTTTGCATTTGACTACTAACATAAATGTTGGTGACTCAAACTCATGCAGTAGAGTTGCACAAGACAGGCCTGGTAGTCTGTTTTTGTAGAGATTACACCCAAGAAAATCCTATGGAACTGTTTGACTATAATACTGAGTGCTTCATAAGTCAGAATCAATTCTATGACAAAACGTTCTGTTTTTGTTTTCTAAGAATACCTTTTACCTTAATAGAAATTTATGCGCCTGGAATCTAAATCATCAAAGTAAAACCTCTTTTTCAAGCCCCTACTTCCTACTCCCAAAAGGGAGTGGTGTTCTAACTGAATCAGGCTGGTAATGTAGGAGTGCATCATCTCTAAGTACAACACAAAATGGATAAATATTATCAACATCAAGAGCTAAGGCAATGACCCCTCAACATCTTCCTTTCACTTTGACATCTTTTTTACTGTTTCTCCTATTTGGAAATAACAACAGTTCACAAAATAGTTCCCAATCCCAGGTAAAACGGACCAATCAATATATCATGGATCAAGCCTTAATGTTCTAAAGAGATAGTAATTTCCTAATAATGCAAAAGCCAATAAAATAGTTCTTTATCATCATTGATCACATTCCAAAGCTTTTTCTGTAACTGCTCAATACCAGAACAATCCTCTTTCACTACCAACAGAAGATAACACTTATGACATACCCGATGGAGCCACAGCACTACTGGTAACTTGAGGCTTCAGATCTGCTTCTAAGAGAGCAGGAGAAAGTGTTACCACTGGTCCTGAGAACAGGGGACCTTTTAAGGTGAGCAACTGCCCTTGCGGAGTCATCACGAGGTTGGCAGAGGTGTGTGGAGTGTTAGAGGGTGAGGTATTTTCTGTAAGGAAGATCAGAAGTTAGTTAAGGATAAAAGAACTTTACGAAGGCTAGTGTAGCCCAGTAGTTTAGAGGAATCCTTAAAACTATATTCTGACTTAAAAGGCAAGAAGTAAAATTCAAAGTTAGTGATGGAACCTCAACTTATAATTGACTTTTTGAATGATTTTCCACTGAGTAACGGATACCTGTTCACTGATTCTCCTAAAAGGCACAACTAATTTTTTAAGAAACAGTTATGGCACTTCTCTTTCAATGAAATGAAATGTTTCTGACAATTTCAGCCAATACAACAAGATGTTGCAGAGCTAGTCCATATAGTCAGAAGACAAATTTTGATCTTGATAGTGGTAGACGATGTGGTAGAATGAAGGCATACACAATTATATCTAGCAGGTTTGCTTTCCTATACTTTTAACAAATTACTTCAAATTTCAAAGATTCACATTTCAGATTTCCCATCTATGAAATGAAGTGACTAAATGGTCATTAAAATCCTTTCTTAGCAATAACACTGCTTGAATCTGAGATGTTAAAACTAACTTGTGTTTCAATGTCCATCGCTACTCATCTAATCTCATCTTCTTTTTTCTCTTTTGTGCCTCTAGATTTTCTGTTTTATATATTAGACTACCAACAAATGAAAAAGGATACACCATATTTAAGTACATTAGCCTCACTTCCAAGATCAATACAGGCAAGAAGAGGAATTCACAAACCAAATTTACTTTGTACCTTAAAATAGTAAACTGTTATTGATTAGATAAAGCCTGACTGGCAAAATTAAATATATGTATTTGAAATCCCCCAATGTATTTGTCTCAGCTAGATCCAACTTCAGCCTATAAGAAAAATTTTAGGGAAATCAAAAGCTGATGTATAAAGTCCAAAAAGATGACAGCTTAAAAAAAATAACCTCACAGAAACACTGCAAGAAAAAGTACTCAGACATGATTGTCAAGTGCTATTGGAAGTAGGTCCTGACTGGTAACTTCTTAGGATTTGCTTAAGTGTGTAAAGTCAGAAATCAAAATCTAAAAGCAGTTAATTTTCTACTTTTTGTAAATTTCATCTATAATTCATTTATTTAAAAACTATGGCCAAGAAAAAATGTTCAGTTCACTAAACAAAATGGGTATTTATCTACACTAAGGAAAGCAAAGAATGTCCCTCCTACCTACCTGTGGCTTGGTCTCTTTTTCTGGAAAGAATCAAAGGTTTCCCCCTCCTGTTATTTATGAACATCTGTCCGAGATCTACAGATGATGTAGAAGACCCTTCCTGTTGCTTGTTAGTTTGGGGAGACACATCAAACTCATCTGATCCCATCTTCTTTTTTCTCTTTTGTGCCTCTAGTGCTTGTTGTTTGGCATATATATACTCTAGCTTCTTCAAGACCACTTCTTCTGTCTTACCTGTAAGTTGACAGGGAAAAAAAACCCTGTCATTCTGTACATGACCCCATACAAAATGAGGTACACAGTCAACTGAAATAGTTGCTGTTGTTATGTGCCATGGAGTCGGTTCCGACTCATAGCGACCCTGTGCAGGGTTTCCGAGACTTTAAATCTTTATGGGAGCAGAATGCCTCATCTTTCTCCCACAGAACAGCTGGTAGTTTCGAACTACTGACCTTGAGGTTCGCAGACCGATTCTTAACCACTACGCTACAAGAGCTCCTTTATCAACTGAAATAGAGAGTCAACTTAATTACATTGCAAAAACTATGGAAGACAAGGATGATTACAATCCAGAAGAAAAGTTTCCATCAACAAAATGCTAACTTTGCTGTAAACTCTGGGAGCCAAGCCTTAAAACTAATCTGTATCTCAAGTTCACCAGCTGCTCCTTGGAAACCCTATAGAGGGTCACTATGAGTCAGAACAGATCAACAGCACTTAACAACAATCTGAGAGATGTACTGAGGACTCTTCTTCACTTGTTATGCTCTTTACCAGAGATCATTCACTCATTTTACCTGAAAGAGATGATACTTTTCGTATCAAAATATTCCGTTTTCGAGTCAGAAGATTCTTCTGTCCTATCAACTTGTCTGCTTGGTCTGTTAGTCCCTGAATTTCACTGAATGCCTAGAAGAGAAATAGTAATAATTAATCAATTCATTCTCTCCTACAAACAGCTGTGGCCAACAAAATTTCTATAATAAAAATGTTTTAATTTAATTGTTGTTGTTATGTGCCATGGAGTCGGTTCCAACTCATAGCGACCCTGTACAGGGTTTCCGAGGCTTTAAATCTTTATGGGAGCACAATGCCTCGTCTTTCTCCCGCAGAATAGCTGGTAGTTTCGAACTGCTGACCTTGCGGTTTGCAGCCCAATTTGTAAGCACTATTGCTACCAGAATTAGAGGTTTAAAAACACCATTTAAAACAAGTCTTTAATTGTTATCAGGACTGACTGTAAGGGTTGGAAATGTAAAGGTAGACATTTTGTAGCAAAAGGAGGGGAATAACTGACTTTGCAGTCTAGGAGCGGAGGTTCCCTGAGACCATCAAGAGAGAAGAGCAAAGTGCAGGACCCTACCCAGAGAAGCAGTGACGCCAAAGATGGAGGCAGAGACGATGACATGGAGAGATGGAGCAGCTGGGGACTTTAGACTCAGAGAGGGAGAAGGGCTGTGTACTGAAGACTGGGGGGGCAGGCTTGTAGTGTATACCTTTGGTTGGTTAAAAATGCATGGAGGGGATTATAACCATGGCAATGAAATGATATACGACAGGACGACTGTAAAGTTAATGTTCTCCCATGTAAACTATCACAAATTCACAATAAAACATTAAAAACAAAACAATTCTTAGTGTTCCAGAAATTATTTTTTGTTAAATTATAAAGAATTAGAGAACATAGGTCATGATTACACCCATTCCTCATTTATTGATAGGTTAAGTTACCAAAGACCAGGTCATTATACAAAATCCAGCATTATGCAAAAATGAAGGATAAGCACACCAGATCACAAAATGGAGAAATTATTGATTATACAATTCATTACACATTATATAATATTGGAGAAATTAAATCATACAATTGCCAAACTACTGACAAGTTGACACCTAAACTTAACCTTCACAGCCAACATTACTTTTGCCTTGTACCTCAGCATTCCAGATATGTATCATTGCTGTTAAAAACAGTCACATAGTAGATTTTTTTTCATATTGTCATAAGTATCAGCTAGTAAGTGAGGAACAGGTATATTTCCAAAGACCAGCACGGAGTTAAGTGTTTAACCCAGAAGTACATCCATCTACCTACAGTCAGCTATCTTTGACAAAGGGCCCAAAGGGGAAGAGATAGTCCCTTCAACAAATGGTACTGGCAAAACTAGAAATCCATTTGCAGAAGAATGAAACAATATCTCATACTATATACCAAAACAAACTCAATGTAGATTAAAGACCTGAATGTAAAATCTAGACCAATGAAAAAATAGGAACAAACTTAAGAACTCTAATATATGGCGTAAATATACTATCAAACATCACTGAAAAACACATAAACAGTAGAAGACACAAATAGATGATTGGGACCTCCTAGGCACTTAAGTTCATCAAAAGATTTTACCAAAAGTGTGAAAAAGGGAGCCCAAAGACTGGGAAAAAAATTTTTTAATGACCTATCAGACAAGGAACTAATCTCTAAAATTTATAGAAAACTGTAATACCTCTACAGTAAAAAAGACAAGCAAGGCAATTAAAGTATTGGGCACAGGATAGTTATAGACACTTAACCATGAAAGACATTCAGGCAGCCAACAAACATATGAAGAAATGTTCATGATCATTAGCCACTGGAGAGATGCAAATCAAAATAACAGATATCATCCCACACCAGCATTAATAGCAAACTTTAAAAAAAAAAAAAAACAGAAAATAATAAATGCTGGCAGGGGTGCCGAGAGACTGGGACCCTCCTACATTGCTGATGGGGCTGTAAAATGGTTCAGCCACTATATGGCGCGCTTCCTCAGAAAGTTAGAATAGAAATACCTTATAACCCAGCTATACTTGGTATATATATACTTGGTATCCCTCTAATTGGTATATATCCACAAGAAACAAGAGCCAGGACATGAGTAGATATATGCACACCAATGTTTGCCACATGATTATTCACAATAGCAAAAAGATGGAGACAGCCTAAAAGCTCATTAATGGAAGAATGAATAAACAAACTTTGGAACATATACACAACGGAATTAATACTACGCAACACTGAAAAATAGCAATGACTCTGTGAAACACCTCATAACATGAGTGAACCTGGAGGACATCAGGCTGAGTGAAATTAGTCAATCACAAAAGGACAGATATTGTATGATACCACTATTGTAAAACTTCAAGAAAAGGTTTTCAACCTAAAATAAACTTTCTTTATTGATTACCATGGGTAGGAGAGAAGGGAGGGTAATTCACTGCCTAGAGGTTAGACAATTGCTAACTCAGGTGGCAAGGAAGGCTATATACAAGAGGGAGGCTGGCAAGAGAATGATGAAGACAACTGAAGGCATAGGGAAGTAAGGTACGGGCAAAAAGGGATAGATGTAAATAATGATACATATACAACCTCGAAATAACAATGTTCTATGGGTAAATACATGAGCAGAGACACAGGCTGAATGGGTATGGGAGGAAGAGTGGAACATATCCCACAAATATATGTGTTTGAAAGAGCATATTGGGATACCATGACCAATTGGCCTAACACAGCCCACAAAGACAATGATCTACCTCCTACTTTAGTGAGTTGCATCTGGGATCTTAAAAAGCTCATCAACAGTTGAGCAGCGACCTAGGGTGCAGGAATTAGTCTCTCCACCAGATGCAGCACCAAGAAGAGTGATAAGAATTGAAGAGGCCTGGAATCAATCAGCCCACTGGACTAACGGAACATATGAACATCTGTCTCCACGATTCTGAGACTAAAAGAACTAGTAGCTACTACTACTAACTGCTTTGAAATGGATCACATTAGACGGTCCTAGATAGAGTGGCAGATTATGTGGAACAAAACTCAGAATTCTTTTTTTAAAAAAGATCTGGCTTTCTGATCAGAAAGAGATTGGAAGATCCTGAGACTGTGGCCCTCAACCACCCTTCAGATCTGGAAAGCAGCACACCCTTGTGGCCTAACTTTCAGCCAATCAGTATATAGGTATATAAGGGGGACAACAACACTAATAAAGTATACTCACTATGAATGATGGAATGGTCAACCATTTAAAATCAAAGGGCAACATTTACCTAAGGACAAAATTGAGAAGGGATGGGAAGGTGGGTGGAATGGAATAGGAACCACAGGGAGGAACAGCAGGATAACTGTTGTTGCATGGAGGGGATTACAATCACTGAAATGAAACAAAATGTATGATTTGTTAACTGCAAAACAGATGATCTTGTCTGTAAACCTTCACTCGATTCACAGTAAAAAGTTACACACAAAAAAAAATTATATAAAAAACATTGTTTCATATTCACCAATAAAATAAGTAAACTCTTGAGTATTTTTCTAGTTAATCACCACTGACTGTTCTGTGATATTCACTGTGCCGACAACATCATAAGGAGACTTCTAAATCTAGCTTTTAACTGTGTAATTACTTGCCCCCCCTCCAATAGGGAATTCACTAATTTACATTCAAATGTTAAGTAGCTCTATTTCAATCTTCCTCTAATGGCAAAGAAACAAGATTTTCTTAATTTGTCTGTTATTTACATAAAATACTTACCCGAGTGAGAATGAGACTTTTGGAAACTTTAGAAGAATGAAGTAATCCCAATGTGATCTTCAATTTCTCAAAGAGATCCCTCATTTCACCACGCCTCCTCCGCTCATTGGCAGTATGCGTCCGCCGATAATAAGCAAAAGCTTCTGCTTCTTTCTGTAATTTATCATTCCAATAATCAAGCTTCAGTTTTAGAGGAATTGGTGGAGTCTGTCCAAATAAAATACTACCTTCTAACTATGTTTCACATCTACCCACTCTTCTCTATTCCATATGGTACTAATCTATTTCAGATTATTCTGTCTGAACTCTTCCAAAGAACCTATCTGCCATGTTACTACCAGTGTATCCTTCCTCCAAATCTGTCTTCAGCAATGCCAATAGTGCAATTGTAATACATGCAAATGTGATCCTATTACCTCAAAGCTTACATTTTAGAGGTTCCTTCAAATGGCTGGAAGAATGAGGAAGGAGGGAACCCTTAAAAAACTTATTTGATATAACTGATAATTATTTCAAATAACTCATCTTCATGATACAAATCATATGAGGAAAAAAAATCAACAAAATCTTGACTGGTGAAGAACAGGTTGAAAACATTTAATAGTGTAAGATTCTTAATAATTTGGTAAAAGACGAACTGCCACTCTTGCTAAAGTACCTTTCTCTCCAACTGGTATAAGCTCCCAAAACATACTGTGCAAACCCTACCCTTCTCTAGTTATCATTAGGCTGTTGTCTCCAACTGGATTTACACATCCTTCTCACCTTTATCTTTTGTAAGTCTCATTTACTATTTAAAACTCAAACTGTACTTTTTAAGGAAAATGCTTCTTGGTTCACAGACTATGTTAGGCCTCCTTTCCCTAAACTTTATTTCATTCAACTTTTTAAAGTTATTTCTTTAAAAGAAGTTATAGGTACACATGGGTTTAAAATATATTGTGCCCTGCACCTAAAACCCAGATCTTTAGAGATAGACACATTTTAATTCTTTCAGCTGCTTCTTCTGGGTCTTAAATCAATGTTGTTGTTGTTATTGTTGTTGTTGTTATGTGCCATGGAGTTGGTTCCGACTCATAGTGACCCTGTACAGGGTTTCCCAAGGCTGTAAATCTTCACAGGAGCAGAAAGCCTCATCTTTCTCCCACGGAACAGCTGGCAGTTTCGAACTGCTGACCTTGCAGTTCACAGCCCGATTCATAACCACTACGCTACCAGAGCTCCTTGCTGTTGTTATTAGGTGCCGTCAAATCAGTTCCAATGCAGGAACTCATGTACAACAGAACGAAATACTTGCCTGGTCTTGCACCAGCATCACAATTGCTTTGATTTTGAGTTCAGTGCTGCTGCCACTATGTCAATCCATCTTGTTGGGGGTCTTCCTCTTTTTAATGAATGTTTGCAGCTGTATTCTTTTCATTTTGCATTGTGCCTCATCAACAAATTAAGGTTCTGATAACATTGCTCTATCTGTGTCATTAAGGTCAATTCTGCTTTAAAGAGGCAGTTCTTTTCTAGTTGTATTATGGATACCTTCCAACCTGAGGGTCCATCTTCTGGCACTATATCAGACAATGTTCCACTGTTTTTCTTAAGATTTTCAGTGGCTAACCTTATATAAGTGGTCTGCCTATCCCTTTTCCAGTCTTAGTCTGGAAGCTCTGCTGAAACCTGTTCACTATACATGACCCTACTAGTATTTAAAATACCATTGGAATACCTTCCAGCATCATGGAAGCTACCACAGTAGTGACAAACTGACCGAGGAGTTGTGGTAAATCTATATATTTAATCAACAATAGTAATACATGCTTATTCTTTATATTAGATATGTCTATTGACTTTCTGCTGCATACAAGACCATTTAGCTCATTTTAGCGCCACTCTATTGCCACCTCTCCTTATTTCCTCTCCTAATATATCTATAACATTAAATTTTAGTTTTATTGATTCCCTCTCCAATTTAAGTAATATAATTGTATTAATTTCTCACTAAGGTAGTATCTCTTGTTTTTCCATTTTGTAAAATAAGGATTATTAGCACTCACATCCTTCCCTTATTTCTTCTTCCCACTTTTGACTCTCAATTTGTCATATGTACTTCCACATTTGTCTAGGTTGCAATTAAGTGTTCCATATTTTATTTTTAGTTTACAAAAGTTTTTTCTTTAAGTCATCAACAGTAGTTAATAGTTAATGTGGTACTGTAAGATAAGCAGTTCAAACTACCAGCTGCTCTCAGAAACTCTATACAGGGTCACAATGAGTCAAAACTGATTAGAAAACACACAGTAACAGCATTGTTATGACATTATAAATACTATTCATGGAAAGAAAATTAGAATTAAATTTCTTATTATCTTGTACAGTTTCTTGATTTTGTATGTTTTCTTCCCCATGTTTCTTTTTTTTCTTCTTACACTGATTGCCTTAATCAAAGCCTTGTTAGTATCCCAGAGCTCTTATGTAAATCTTAGTGAAGTTAAATCGATTATGCATTAATATAGAGTATCAAATAGAATGGGAGTGCAAAAACTCCGATAAGATAGAAAAAAAAATTACCACATTAAAATATAGCAAAGTGAGCATATTAATTTGCATGCAGTTATTTAGGTACATAAAAAAATGAAAATCTAAATAAGTTATTAGAAGATTTTCTTGTTATACAAGTTAGAGGATTAAAGAAGGTTTAATAAAGGAGCTCTGGTAGCGTAGTGGTTGCGAATTGGGCTGCTAACCTCATGGTTGGCAGTTCAAAACTACCAGCTGTTCCGTGGGAGAAAGATGAGGCTTTCTGCTCCCGTAAAGATTTACAACCTCAGAAACCCTGTGCAGGGTCGCTATGAGTCAGAACCGACTCCATGGTACTTAACAATATGTTATGACTTGCTATCCCCTACATTAAAGAGAGTAATTACTATTTCAGATCACCAAAAATCATGAACAAGGCAGAATGTCAGCTTGTTTTACATCAAAGGATTAGTTTTATTTTATATCAAAGGATTAGTTTTAAAACAAGCACATCAATTTCCATTTTAATTTTTCTAATTATTCTGTCACTTAAGAAGGAGTACTAGAAACAAAGACAAAGGAAAGTTTTGGGAGCGCAATGGCTCTGTAAGATAAGTCTTAGACAGCTAGTCGCAAGGCCACCAGCCACTCAGCTAGTCACAAGGTCACCAGCCACTCCAAGGAAAAAAGATAGGGTCTTCTACTCCCATAAAGATTTAAAACCTCAGAGATGCAATGAATTGGAACCGACTCAAAAGCACTTGACAACAACATCAATAACGTTTTAAGCTTAAAGACAAGTGTTAAGTTAAATATATTATTAAATATATTGTAAATACCTTTCGACTCCTTTCAGTAGCTTTCTCATCTGTAGAGATATGGGTACGGCACCTAGAAAAAGAACGTAATTTCCAATGTCTTACTGAAATTCATTAATTGAAGACTTATTTCATAGTCACATTAAGTCAAATCATTCCAAACTGTCAAAAATGCAGCTAGTTTCTTTCATATATATATATATATATATATGAGTAGAATCCAGGGACTCTCAGACCTACTGCATGGCCTTTTAATTCAAAAATACAACTTTTCTCCCTCTAAGAAAAGTGTCCATATAACCCAATTGCCTTTTTCAATCATGGACTATCTGAAACACATAAAACTGTATAAACATTCAACCAACATCCAGGTATTTACTACCTAGCTTGAGAATAAAACATCTCAATATCATATGAGATCCTATGTGCAAGCCTACCCAAACACATTCCCTTCGTTCCTTCTCAAAGATAAACACTCCCGTTTACCGTGAACATCTTTACACTTTTACTATGAATGTATGATGTATTGCCCTAAATAGAAAAAATTATTTATATTGTTATGTATCACTTTGCAAATAATTTATTTCACTCAACATTACATCTAAGATACACTGATATATACATAACTCAATCATTAAAAATGCTATCCAGTGTTTATTTTTTCCTAATGTTAGTAGAAATTTAACTTGTTTCCAAATTTTCACAATGACAATTACTACAATGGATAGTCCCATACATGACCTCACGTACATTAAGTATATGTATTTTTAAATGATTTGTATACATAGGAGTAGAACTGCCAGGTGAGAGAATGGCATTTGAATTGTCAACTGTGGATGTCAAAATGCTCTTCAAAGTACTACTCAAAGGCAGTAGGGGAGAGCTCCCATAATGCCATAAATAAACAGTAATACTATCAAGCACATCTCAATTTTTGCCAATCTTATGAGTGAACTGTTAACATCCTGGTAGTTTTTATACATGTGCTTAAGGAGTCCTGGTGTGATGCTGTGGGCCAATGCTTCAGACTGCAAAGTCGTTTGAACTGCAAGGTAAGCGGTTCAAGCTCACCAGCTGCACCTTGGAAACCCTATACAGGGTCTCTGTGTGTCAGAACTGACTCGACGGCACTTCACAACAACAACAACATTAATGTGCTAGACTGCAAAGTTGTTTGAACCACAAGGTCAGTGGTTCAAGCTTACCAGGTGCTCCTCGGGAACCCTATGCAAGGGTCACTATGGGTCGGAACTGACTTGACGACACTTAACAACATCACTGTAGGGTAAGCACTGGACTGCTAATCCCAAGGTCAGAAGTTGCTGCTCCTCAGAAACTCTATACAGGGTACTAACAGTTGGAACTGACTTGACAATAACAACATTTACTTATAAGATTGAACATCTTTGGATGTGCAATGTTTTTATATGCCTGAAATTAATCCTTTGACATTTATATGCACTGCAAATACTTTAAAGTCTGAGTGTCTTTTCACAGTTTTTATGGTGTTCTGACAGAAATTTGCATCTCAATTTTTAACAATCTTTTAAAATTTGTTCTTTTTGTGTTGACTATCCCTGGACTTTTACTATTCCAATTAAAATGGTATCTTTCCATTTTTATAGAATTAATGTTTTTCAATACAATTTTATAAAAGTCTTACACAGCTTTTGCTGTTCTTAGGTAGTGTTTTTCTATTCTTACTGTAAATGATTTTTTTTAAGATTACATTTTCTGCTTGTTGCTATTATTTCAGCAATTCCATTTTAGTTGCTGCTGTGTGCTGTTAAATCAATCTGACTCATAATATTCCTATAGGACAGAGTAAGAACTGCCCAATACGGTTTCCTAGGCAGCAGTCTTCATGGGAACAGATTACCAGGTCTTTTCTCCTGCAGAGTCTCTGGTGGGTTTGAACCACCAACCATTTAGTTAGCAGCTGAGAGCTTAACCATTATATCATAGGCTCCCTTCAATTTTAGTATACTGAGCTTAGTAAGTCTTATTAAGTTTTTAAGGAATTTAAATTCTTTAAAGTTTAACCAGTATACCAACAATTCTAGAGTGACAGAACTACTAATCCTATTTCCCAGTCTTTAGATAGACTTTCTCAGTATCAGTAGGGATGAAGAACTACTTTCTTAGCTCAATGCTATTTTATATGGTGATTAATGGAGTTATAGGTAAACTACATTGGCACAAAATAAGAACTCATCATCTGGAGGTGGGGCTTGATGGCGGATAGGGTAGAGATGCAGTCAAGATCTCCATCAGCAAAACCACAGAATATCTGGCAAAGCAGGTTCAGGGACGTGCTCCAAAACTCTGAACCACATATGAAGGAATATTTAAAAAGTTTGAAGGTTTATAGCTAGTGCAACTTGCAGTGGAAGCAAGAAATCTTGGACTTTTGAATCTGCCAGGCTCAGCAGCCCAGAGCCAACAACTTGGGTGAGACCAAAAGGCAAGACCAAGCAGGGTAGCAAGCAGACCCGCCAAGGACTAATGACACTGGAACCTCGGAGCAAAGGTAGACAATACACTTTGTTTGGTTTTATTTTGTTATAATTTTTTTTTGGTATTTGTTTATTGGCCTCTCGCTGTCTGCGCACCTCCCTTCTGGTGACTAGAGGGGGTGCTGAGCAAAGTGACAGCCCCACCCCCACCACTGGAGGGTTCCTCTACCACACATGCGCACAGATCCTCTCAACGGTCAAAGGACCAGTCCCCACTTAAAACCACCAGCTCAAAAGGACCACAGCCCATCCTAAGCTGTTTATTAATAGGGAAAAGGCCAGAACAGGGGTCGTTTAAAAGGCCAGAGTATGCTTAAATCCAGCAGCACAAAATGGCCACAGACAGCCCTGAACTGTTTAATAATAGGGAAAAGGACAGAACAGGGATGTGGAGAGGGAGACAGTTTAAAAACAAAACAGGTGGGAAATTAAATGCTGAGGTACAGCATAACAACCAACAGTGGCATCTTGAAATTCATTAGGTGGCCTTGAAGACAAGAAGCTGAAAGAGGATATTAAAACCATAGTCATAGTACATAACAGATTTTTTTTTTCTTCTCTCTCTCCTCTCCCATTTCTGCAATTGTACACCACAGTATCCAGTCTGTTTTTTTTTTTTTTTTTTTTTTTTTAGTAATGTTTTTCTTTTCTG